AGCAAATCAGACTGAAGTGCATGGCGTTTTTATGACTGAGTGTCAGAAATCACACAGAATCCCTTCCGTTGCAGTCTGTGGGTCAAACCAGTCACAAAGGTTGCCTAAGCTGGGCGCAATGGCACTCACCTGGAATCCAGGCAACTCAGGAGGCTGAGGCAGGAGGATTGCAAGTTTGAGACCAGGCTGGGCATCCTAAGGAGACCCTGCCTCAAAATAGAATTTGAAAAGACCAAGGATGTAGCTCCGGTGGTAGAGTGGCCCTGGGTTAACCCCCAGGACCTCACAAACACAAGAACAGCACAGACTTGAGCTGGAGGGTCGCCCAGTGCTGCCGTTTACATCTGGAATTTCCCTCAAAGGCGCATTTATTGACAGCCTGGTCCCCAGCCCAGGGCACTACTGGGGAGGAGAGGTGCACCCTTTAAGAGGGGTCACCTTGGGTCGCTGTGCGGTGCCCTCAGGGATGTGGGAGCCTAGTCTCTTCCTGTCTTCACTTCTCAGTAGCCCCGAGGAGAGCAGCCCGGCTGCCCACCTGCTCCCACCGTGGGAGGCCAACTGACAGGGACTGGAGCCCCCGGCCACCAAAATAGACCTTTCCTCTTTATAAACTGATCACCTCAGATCTTTATTGATTAGTAACGAAGGCTGACACACATCCAGGCGCAAGGGCAGGCCACAGAGACCTGTCGTGGCATGTCGTGTGCAGAGCAGGACACATCGTTGAGGCCTGTTTGGGAAACACCGTCCTTGCCTGGTGCTCTGGTGGGATTCGTTTTCTCCCCCGAGATCCTCCTGTGGAAAGACTTTGTAAAAAGCTCTGCTTTGTATTGTTCGTGGCACAAATAAACTACAGTTATTCTGTTGGGCTGTTTGGACATTTGTTTTTAATTTTTCCTGATTGCAGGAGCAGTGCTACGGTGGGCCTTCCTGTGTCCCTTCCTGTGTCCTGTGTCCCCAGGGGGAAGTTTCCCTGAGGTGCATGTTCAAAACATCCAAGTCTTTCCCCTGGGTTTGCTAGGGGGGACAGATGGCCAGTGTGTCTAAGGGCCAGTGAAGGAAGGGAGTGAGGGAGGAGACGCAGCAGTGAGTGGTGGGCAGGGGCAGCCACGCAGGCCTCGGGGGTCATAGTAAGGGCCTTGGATTTTTTTGGATTGAACTCAGAGGAACTCACCAATGAGCCACATCCCAGCTCTTTTTTGTGTTTTATTTAAAGACAGGGTTTCACTGAGTTGCTTAGCACTTCGCTTTTGCTGAGGCTGGCTTTGAACTTGAGATCCTCCTGTCTTAGCCTCCCCAGTTGCTGGGATTACAGATGTGTGCCACCGTGACCAGCAGGCCTTGGGTTTTATTCAAAGGACAACAGGGAGCCCTGGAAGGTCTTGGAGCTGAGGAATGATGGGTCTGATTTCTGATTCTCCTCTGGTTGTTGAGCAGAAAAGACATTGAGTTAACATGTAAAATCAGGAAGACTTATTAGGAGGTAGAGGAGCACATGGCCTCCTACCAGCCCTGCCTCAGGGCCTTTGCACTCCTTACCTTTACTATGACCCTGCCTAGAACATTTCTCCCCGAGGTGTATACATGGGGGGCTCCTTCTTCTTATTTTATTTTATTTTTTTTGAGGCGGGTACTAGGGATTGAACTCAGGGGCACTCGACCACTGAGCCACATCCCAGCCCTATTTTGTATTTTATTTAGGGACGGGGTCTCACTGAGTTGCTTAGCATCTCACTTTAGTTGAGGCTGGCTTTGAACTTGAGATCCTCCTGCCACAGCCTCCAGAGCTGCAGGGATGACAGGCACCACTGTGCCCAGTGGTGGGCTCTTTCTCATTATTCACATTTGACTCAAAGTCACTTCTCATTTGACCTTTGAAGATATAGGAAATTAAGTAGAGCAGCACCCCTGGCTCCAAACAAGCTCTGGTCATTGTGGGCAGAACACAGAAATAATTAAAATAGAGGGAAAGGGCTGGTGATGTCATTCAGTGGTATAGCACTTGCCTCGTGTGTGAGAGGCAGCAGGTTTGATCCCCAACACCACACACACAAGTCGACCACAGCTTTCGAATACTTTCACAGTGTCACACAGCCACCAGGGCTACAACTTCCAACACTTTTCATCACCCCAAAGGAAACTCAGCACCCCTTAAACAGTCATTCTCCCCCCTAATCCTGAAAAACACACATTTCCTTTCCATTTGCCCTCTCTGGAAATTTGTATAAATGGAACCATCTACTATGTGACCTAGCATGTCACATCCTTTCATGTGGCATGTGGTCCAGCCTCACCCCATGTTGTGATGTGAACCAGTACTTGTGGATTTGAGGTTGGATTGTGCTCCCATTGACATGTTACAGCACTAAGCCCCCGGATCTCAGAAATAGGGCCTTTAAAGATGTACTTAAATTAGAATGAAGTCATTGAAGTGGACCAGAATCCAACATAACTGGTGTCCACCTAGGAAGAGGAATTTGGACATAGACACACAGGGAGAAGGTGGCCATCTACTAGCTAAGAAAAGAAGTCCTGAGAAGAAACCAACCCTGCCAACACTAGATCTTAGACTCCAGCCCCCAGAATGGAGAGAAAATTAATGTCTGTCATCAGGGAGTAAAGAAGGTGGGGAAAGGGAGGGTCCTGGGGAACCTTGCTGACAGATCAGGCAGTTCTGGGAATTGAACCCAGGGCCTCACGTGTGCAGTCCTCTACTGCTGAGCTACATCCTCAGCCCTAAAATAAATTTCAGAGTCTAAAGTGAACCTTCCTCATCCCATGCCCCTCCTCAGCAGGAAGACCCTGCTATTCTTTTCAATAAGCAATATAAGTCCACACATTTTAATTCCCTTTTTTTCTCCTCTAAAATGTCAGCATAATGGACACCCTGCTAGGAACTTAGTTTTACTTAATTTTGGTGGGTGTATTTCCAGGCGGAAACTTAGAGCTTCTTCAGTTTTCTGCAGTCATTCTTTGGTACCTGTGGGGACTTGGTTCCAGGACTCCTGTGGGTACAAAAACCTGGGGACACTCAAGTCTTGTGTATAAAATGCACAGAACCCATGCACACCCTCGTAGAGGCTTCTGTCATCTCTAGGTGACTTATGGTGCCTAATGCCATGTATGTGCTATGCCAATAGTTGTCCCAGCTTGTTTAGGGGATAATGACAAGAAATGAAATCCAGACATATCTAGTAGAGTGCACCCTCCGTGGTTGGCTGAATCCTTGGATGCAGAACCTGTCGCCGTGGAAGTTGGTGTCTATAGCTGCATAGGATCGTGGGATCATACCTGAGGAATTGGGAAAGCAGGCACGAGCTGGGTGGCTGAGGGGGTGAGAAGGGGGAGGGGAATGTGGGAAGTCGATGGTGGAAAGACGAGCGCACATTATACAGGGCCTGATGGGTCTGGGGGAGGACTTTGACTTGAGTCAGGAGGGAGATGGGAGCCATGGAAGGTTCTGAACCCAGGAAGATTGAGACCCCACTCAGGTGCTCACTGGCGCCCTCTTTCCGTTAGTGAGGGGAATAGACTGGGAGGGGTGATGGCGGGAACTGGGACACAGGTGGTGAATGTGCCCATCCAGGTGGGAGGTGATGGGAGCCGCATCCAGGTGAGGGGACGAGGTAGGAGTGAGAAGCGGGAGGATGCTGGCTGGTTTCTGATACGGACCCTCGTGCTGTGGTGTCAGCCTGGGTTGGGGTGGCACAGGGAGTCCAAAATGTGAAATCAGCCTCTACCAGAACCGACCTGCAGCTGACTGGATCTACAGGACATGGAAGGACGGGTTCGGGGAGAGGAGGGAGGTTGGATCCAGCCGGGCTGAGTGGGGGCCTCCCGCGCTCCTGCAGGTGGTTCACCTGAGAGGCAGGTGTCCTCCGCGCAGCAGCCGCGCAGTCCCGGAAACCGCCGCCAGAGGGCGAGCGCGCCCCATCGCGGTCGCAGCTCCCGGGGTGGGGACTCGGGAACAGCCAGCTCCGCGGCTTCCCACGGCCCGGACGCCTGGAGCTCCGCACCTTGGTGCAAGATGCTCGCCACCCAGGTGCTAAGACCCGGCCGGGACCTGCAGCCGCCTCGGGATGCCCAAAGCCCGGGACGTGTTTCCAGCAGGTCAACCTCCACCCCCTACCGAGCTGTTCCCAAGCCTCTGGCGGCATCTCGGGCCTTTGCAAAAGTGTCACCTCTTTGGGGAGGACTTCCCTGACCACCCTAGGACAGACGCCCCCGCCTTGAACCCTCTAAAGCACATTTTGTTTTAATGTCTTTATCCTGAAGCTGAAATCATTTGTCGTTTATTGTCTGTTTGAGACACTCTGATGTAAAATGTGAGGCAGGAGGGACCCAGTTTCTGTTTATTCTCTGCGTATCTTCATGGGAAAGAATTATGCCTGGCTTCCAACAAGTACTAAAGGGAAAACAGTAGCCCCAATCATGTTAATTGTCGCTGACCGGGGCTGGGGCTGCAGCTCAGGGGTCGCTGGTCTGGTTAGTTGCACAGGGTCCTGGGTTTGATCTGCAGCACCCTGGTGTGTGTGTTTGGAGGAAGGCACTGGCTCATGATGCTACTGCAAACTGACCTCCGTTTTAAGCTCCTTATCTAAATTGTCTCCTTGAGTCCTTAGAACAAGGTAGGGCCTGTTATCAACACCATATTACAAAAGAGGAAAGTTGAGGCCCAGAGTGGTTCGGGGACTTGCCTGTGGTTGCACAGCCAGGAAGTTGGCATATGGGGGTGGAAACCCAAGAAGCCTGGTTGCAAAGAAAAGTATCCCTGCAGGGCTATCAGGCATGGTGTCCCTCAGCTCCTGTCCCTAGACTTGTACCTCGACCCCCTTGACTTGCCTCTTTTGATCCCACAGCCCACACACCTGCAGGCCCAGCCCTCAGGACCCAGCAGGCTGCTAGGAACCCCGCAGGTCTGGTTTACTTTCCTCCCTGCTGTGAGTTTGCAGAGGCGCTTCCCAGGCTGCCCAGGTGGGGACAAGTGATTAAAAGCAGGTCTGAGGGACCAGACTCCACTCGCTAGACAGCAGGGTCAACTGCCCAGGACCCTGAGCCCCACCCTGGACTGACAGACGGACAGCTAAGCAGATGTCCCGAGGATGGCTGACCACTCTCCTGGGGCTGCTGAGTGCGGCCTGGCTGCCCCCAGGCTCAGGGAGGCCTGGACCCCCAGCTCCCCCGGGGCCAGCCTTTGCCCTTGGCAGCTGGAAGGCCTTCCTGGGCCTGCAGAAACCCTGGAGGCTGGGGACAGATGGGTTGCAGGATGGGCAGGAGGTGGCCACCTCCGTGTCTTTGCCATTGGACCCTAAAGAAGTGACCCAGGAAATGTGTAAGGCTGTGCCCTTCATTCAGGTGAGTGTGTGGGGTGGGGGTGGGCCGGTCTCAGCGCCTGCAGGAAGCCCAGGCTATGGCTCCAGGCAGATCTGAGTTCATGACCCGCATCATCCACCTACATGGCTCTGAGTCTCAGTGTTCTCCCGGGTCCACTGGGTACAGGATTGCTGGGCACAGTGACACACACCTGTGATCCTGGTAACTGGGGAGGCTGAGGCAGGAGGACCAAAAGTTCAAGGCCAGCCTCAGCAACTTAGCAAAGCCCTAAGCAACTTAGCGAGATCTTGTCCCAAAATAAAAGTTAAAGAGGACTGGGAATGTGGCTCAGCGGTCAAGCACCCCTGGGCTCAACCCCCAAATGGGGTACTGGCCTCTCATGTGGGAGGGAGGGTGCCTTCACCTGATCTCCTGTCTTTGGGCCACTCCTCCTCCTAAGTCTATGTTCCCATTTAGTGGCCGAGGGTGCCCGTGGACCCCTGGGTCAGGTCATGTTCCTTCTCCCCTTAGCGGCCCCATGGCTCCCACCTCACTCAGAACAAGCAGAGCCAAGCGCACTCCGTGTTTCTCGAGTGAATGAATGAGTCCTAGAATTATCTGCCTCCTATGGGCTATCAGGCAGCTTGAATGAGTGGGCGTGGGGAGCAATCTCATGGCTGTATCCAGCTGGTGCTCCATAAGGGCCTTGGGAATGCATACAGTGTGCTGAATTCACATCCTTCCTTAATCAATGATTTCTGTGTGATTCAGGGTGAGTAGCTTGCCTTCTCTGAACCTCAGTTCCCACCTTTACAGAAGGGAGTCGGGCACAGCGAAGGATGCCAAGTGCTCAAATCCGTGCCCAGCCGTCAATGTCCCAGACTCCTTGGCTTGTCATTTGCCCAGAAAACCCTGAATCCAGGTGGCAGGAGTTGCTTGGCCCTGGAGCCACCTGCCTTGTGCCCAGTCCTGCCTCTGTGGCACCCCAGCCTCAAGGCCGCCCTGTCCAGTGGTGCAAGCTTCACGGAGCAGAAGGGACTCTGGCTTGGAATCTGGCTGCCCCGGAGGGACACAGAGGGGCCCTGAGGGCACGCGGCCTTCTCAGCACTGCAGGACCTTGCCTTGGAGCCTGGGCGTCCTCCTCTGGACACGCGGGGAGGAGTTGGGCATCTACCGACTGGGGCCACGGCCAGGACAACACGAGGTTCCTGTCTTCAGGTGGCTTAACCTCTGGGAGGAGGGTGAAAAACAGAACAGTGTCCCAAGATGCACACCAACCAATCGCTTTAGGGACACGCAGGACAGCATTGTCACAAGGGGAGGGAAGTTCCCTGTGGGGTGCTTTGGAGGGAGGATGAGTTGGAGTCAGCTCCGGGAAGGGTGGACGGAAGGGTGATCTAGGCAGAGGCCAGAGGGCAGAGGGCAGGGAGGGGACAGGGCAGAGTGTGCAGGGACTTCTGGGCCTTGGGGAGGACTTTGCATTTCATTCTAAGGAAGATGAGCAGCCTCTTGTGCTGGGGGAGGGGTGCAGGGTTTAAGCAGAAAATGGCCACGATTTAGTGGTGAGATGATAGAGGGGGCCATAGGAGGAACTAACATTTATTGAGCACCAACTGTGTGCCAGGAAATACACTAAATTGTTTGTTTAATCCTCCTGGCCTCCTTTTTTTTTGGGGGGGGGGGCTACTGGAAATTTAACCCAGGGCAATTTGCCCTTTTTGTTTTCTATTTTGAGGCAGGGTCTTACTAAGTTGCTGAGGCTGACCTCAAACTTGCCATCCTCCTGCCTCAGCCTCCAAGCTGCTGGGATCACAGGAATGCACCACCATGCCTAGTTGGCCTCTTTTATTACTACCTCCTCCCACTGTCCCTCATCTTTGGGGTGATAGCAGCCCTGCTGGTGACCGTCTCCAGTTGTTCTTGTCATTATCTCCTGATTGGTTAAGCTGCTGTATTCCCTGAATGCATCCTCTCTGTTGAAAGACCTAGAGTGGTTTCTTCTTTTCCTAGTTGAACTCCACTGATTTTACAGTTGAGGAAACAGAGGCCCAGAGAGGTTGAGTAACTTGCCCTAGGCCATACAGCCAGGAGATGGCAGACCCAGGACTGGAACCCAGGCAGCTTTGCTGCATCACCCATACCTCTCAGGGTGGGTGGAAGTGGATGAGCCTCACTCTGCTGCCCTAACCTGTCACCCTGCCTCTGGTCTCAGGTGCTCTCTCGGCCTGGATGCACTGCTGTCCGTGTCCGAAATCACCTCTGCTTTGGCCGCTGCTCCTCCCTCTACATCCCGGGCTCAGACCCCACCCCACTTGTCCTCTGCAACAGCTGCGTGCCCACTCGCCAGCACTGGACACCCGTGGTCCTGTGGTGTCGGCCGGGCAGCCCAGCCTCCTCCCCTCGGCGGGTGAAGGTGTCCACCAGGCTGGTGGAGGGCTGTCGGTGTGGACCAAAGCTATGACGCAGCACTGTGACGGACACACAGAGACACGAATCTCGGAGAGATGGGACGACGACACGGACCTAGATGATGGATTCTGGGTCACGAGACCAGGGAAGCAGGGCTACAGACGGCTCTCCAAAGTCACCCTGCTCCCAAGGACACTAGGCACAGCCCCATTCATGGGGCTGGACCACTAATAGGCACAGCACGCACTTACCGACTGCCCACTGATTGCTAGGCTCTTTGACAAGTGCTCACTCGTGTCCTCCTCAGGAGGTGATCCTCAGAGGCCTACGGAGGCAGGGTCAACTTCATGCCATTTTACAGATTAGGAAACTGAGGCCCTGACTTTGCAAGGCACGCACCCAGCGTCACCGTGCAGTCAGTGGCCAAGCCCGCATTCACATATTTTTTTGTCTTTTGTGGTCCTGGGGATTGTTGAGACAGGGTCTCACCAAGTTGCTGAGGCTGGCCTTGAACTTGCAATCCTCATGCCTCAGTCGCTGGGATTCCACGCACCACGGCGTCCAGCACGAATTTGATCTTAACCACTGGGCTCAGCTGCCTCTCAGGGAAGGAGCCCAGCACATTCCCGCTGCGCTGCGGGAGGACAGGCGGCCCCACCCCACCAGGAGACACAGCTATGATCCTGGCCTGGGGACACAAACGCCTAGGCAGGCAGGCAGCTGCAGCTGCGGGGAACCTGGGTCCCGGGCCAGGGGCAGGCCCCCTCCCAGCTGCCTCTCACCTTGACAGTGGCCGTGGCTCCCTGGTGACCGCCCACCCGAGGCCCACCCACACAGCCACGGCCAGCGTGGCGCTCCGCGGGGCCATAAAGGTCGGCCAGGTCCAGCTGCGTGTGCTTGTTTCTCCACCTCGGGTTCCCGGGACGGGGTGCGGGTATCGGGGTGCTCCCTCTCCAGCTGGGGCCCAGGGTCTACTGCGGGTGAGGGCAGCCTGGCTTTGGGCGGCTGGAACCAGGGCCCTGGCAGATGGGCCTGTCTGGCATAGAGGCAGGGACATGTGGCACTGTCAGTGTTGCCTCCAAATGCCCCCCGGAGCGCAGGCGGGGGAGCCGGCCGGGTCCCCCTCAGCCCTCTTCCTGCCTCAGGAAGGAAGGCCCCAGGTGAGGGAGCAGGCGGCGAGGAAACAGATGGGCCCGCAGGCGTGGGAGCCTGCGACCTCTGACCCCACAGGCCTGCACCAGGGGGTGGGAAAGGGCCAGGCAGGGGGCTCTCAAGACCCCGCTCCGAGGCCAGCAGGGAGGCTCACTGGGCCCTGGGGCGGGAGTGCCCCCTCCCCCTCCCTCTAGAGATTGGTGCCAACCCCTGGGCATGTCCAAGTGGGCAGCTCAGTCCTAGCTCCCCCTTGCTGGCGGGCAAGAGGCTTCACCCCCTCAGCTGTGCCCACCCCCTGCCAGCCAGGAGAGCCAGCTGGGGACCTTGGTGCCAGGGGGCCCCCAGAGTCCCTGTCCCCTCCCGGGCAGTGCCAGCCAGCCCCCACCCCATCCCCCAGGCCCAGTAATGGGTGGGTAATGAGTGCTGGGGGAGCGGGGGAGGGGTGGGGATGCAGGTGCCACAGGCGCTGGCACAGGGGCCGCTAATCAGGTTTGCCAACGCCATCTGTCACCGCGCGAGCATCTGGGGCTCAAGGTGACCCTGTCACCCTCAGTTACAATTATGAGTTTGGCATCTGTATTAAAGCCCGCCAGCCGGCCAGGCAGGGGAGGGCTGGGGTGGGTGTGGGGGTACATGGTGAGCCTCATCCCTGGGGTCCCATTCCCAGGGGCTGCGTGGCTGCCAAGGCACGGGCTTCTCTGCTAGGAGGAGTGTGTGTGAGCGTGCACATGTGTATACGCACACACCCATCCCAGCCTCCTCCACTATTCTTCCAATGTGTCTGGGTGCAGGGCTGAGAGTCGTGGGGTTCTGTGTCTCTGGGTGGTGGTGGCTGTGTCTTGGAGTTTGGTGGGACGGCTGGGGCGCAGCCCTGACAGCGCGTGGGTGTGCAGGTGAGCACATCTCAGTGCTGGGAGAGCAGCTGATGGTGCGGTTCTCGGTCTTGGGTGACGTTTGTGTCAGGGTGTGTATGTGTGTGTGTGGTGCATCTGCCAGTCACGAGCTAGGCATCTGAGGGTGTGGCTGTGTGTGCAGGAGCCTTTCAAGTGGTGTGTTCCTCTTTGTGTGTGAGAGAGAACGCACACGGGGGAGGCTGGGCAGGCCATGGGGCAGCAGGGGCGTGAGCTCACTGCTGGGTTCCTCTCCTGCCCTCCATCCTTGTTCCCACCGTCAACAGTCCCTGTGCCTGGCTCTAAGCCAGAGGATTCAGAAGAGGGCTCAGGGCTCTGAATTTTGTAGCCTGGTCTTTGGGTTCTAGGTTCTGGGTTCTTGGAGCTGGATTCTAATTCTGAGTATTATAATCTACATTTCTGGATTCTGGTTCTGGAGGATGGGTTCTTGATCTGGATTATGGATCTGAATTTTAGATTCTGGGTTCTGCATTCGTAGATTTTTTTTGGGGGGGGGAAGTACCAGGGATTGAACTCAGGGGCCCTTGACACTGACTGAGCCAAATCCCAGCCCTTTTATGTCTTTTATTTAGAGACAAGGTCTCACTGAATTGCTTAGGGCCTCACTGTTGCTGAGGCTGGCTTTGAACTCGTGATCCTCCTGCCTCAGCCTCCCTCAGTGACCATAAGCAGCTGCATTCTTGGATCTTGATTTTTGATCTTGGTATTGTTGGAATCTAGATCTTTCTTTCCTCTGTTTGTCTATCTGTCTCTCTCTCTACCCTCCTTGGTGCTGGGGATAGAACCCAGGAGCTGGTGCATGCTAGGCAAACAGTATCACTGACCTACATCCCCAAGCCCAGAATCTAGGTGTTTATTCTGCATTCTGAGGTCTGGATACAGTTTCTGAATTCCGAGTCTGGGTTCTCACTTTTGGACTCTGGCCTTCCAGCCTAGGCCTGTCTTCCCCCAGGACTGTGCAACCCGGCAGCCAGTCATCTCCCTAAGCATGAGTGCAGAGACTACATGTAGCCACCAGGGGCCGCCCTTGGTCCAGATTTGTGACTGGCAGCCCTAGCCCCAGTCCAGTTAGGGAAATTCGCTGGCCTGGCTTGACCCATTCCTTTGAGATTGGGTTGTGCTTCAGCCTTCCTAGTCTCCACTGGGGACTGGCCTCTGTCAGCTCTCCCTGGCTCAAATGTGGAGAACTGAACTCAGCATTTACAAAGTTCCCCCAAATTGTCCCCAGGATAGGTCACCCACCCAAGTAGTGGGTCAGGTGTGCAGTGGAAGGTGCATGCATGAGTGTCAGTGAGTGTCCAGGTTGAGGTCAGGGTGGAGTGTATGTCTGGGTGCCCAATGGTCCAGGGCAGAGAGCCTGTGTAATGGTGTATGGCCATGTCTGACAGAGACCACATGTGTGACAAAGTCCTCATGTGACAGAGCCACAGTGAGGTGTCACTCTGGTGTGGGGAGCCTATGTCTTTGTCATATGAATGTGTTTGTGTCCTTGACTGTGTTATGCGTCATCTGAATGGATCCATATTGTGACTGTGACCACACATATGAAGCACCACTGTGTTTCCCATGAGGCTGTGAGTCCCTGGGTGAAGGCGCCCTGGAGTGTCAGGAGCAGTGTCCCCGGTAGCTGTGGATGATGCCTGGGTAGTGGGACACAGGTGTGTGTTCTGAGAGTGTTGACCCAGAGCCCGAAAAGAGGACTGGATAGGTGGGACCGGAGCCCTCCACCTCTCCGCCTCTCAGTGCCTGTGACAGTCCTTGTCTGGGGTCCCGTCCTCTGCCTTGCTCAGCACTGGGCACAGTGAGCTCAGGGGTCTTGGAGAAGGGTCTTGTCCCCATGTTTTCCCAGCCCCACCTCTTCTGTCTGGCTGGGGCTCTCCTCCTCTCCCCTCCCATCTCTGTTTCTTCCTGGTCTGCCACCTCTGTACCTCTTCTCTTTCCCCTCCCAAGTCCTGCTTGTCCCTCTCCATCCCCTCTTGTCCTCGCCGTCCCAACCCTAACAGTTCCTTGGGTTTCCATTTCTCCCACCTTTCCCCTCTCTCCACCTCATCTCCTCGTTTACCTCTGTCTCTCCATGTCTCTCTCTCACCTCTGATGTCCCCCTGCCTCTGCCGGCCCCGGGTGGGTCCGGGTGGGTCCAGGACAGCCCGGCCCGGGCGCCGCGATGAACAATGCCCCATTCACGCGGCCCGCCGGCGCCATGGCAACGCGCCCGCCCCGCCCTCCCCGCGCGCGGGCCGCGCGTGCCAAGAGGATGCCATGGTTACGTCAGGCGCGTGCCCGCCGCCGCCCCACATGCCCTTGCAGGGGCCGGGCCAGCAGGGGGCGCCCGACCGCAGCTTCTGCCCAGTGTCAGGAGGGAGCCTTCAGGAAGCCGGCAAAGGCTCCTGCCTCAGTTTCCCCAGCTGTAAAACCTCAGGGGTGGGCAGAGTGAAAGCAGTGTGTGTGTGTGAGGAGAGAGTGGGGGGGAGAGGTACTCACTCTTTGAGGGCAGCTGTGTATTGGAATTGGGTATTGGTGCAAATTTGTGCGTCCACGATTGCAAGCTTGTGGGCGTTATATGAGAAGCAGTTGAGGAGTTGGTTGTAGCTTGGGGGTGACCGTGCCCGTGTGACTGGGATTGTGTGTGTGTGTGTGTGTGTATGCTTGTGTGCCTATGTATGACGATGTGTGTCTGTATAATCTGGGTGCAATGGTGTGTATTTTGGGGTCTGTGGTCTTGTGACAGAGTGTTTGCATACCCCCAAGTCTGCATATCTGGTGTGTGTGTGAGTGTGGGTGTGTGGTTTGGGTGTGGTTGTGAGTTCACATGACTGTGTGCATGCCTGTGTTTGCATGCTTGGTGTGTATGCTAAATGGCTATGTGTTGATAATGTGATTGTGAGTTTGTGTGAATGTTGTTTGTGTGTCTGGGGGTAGGTGTTCACAAACGTGTGTTTATGTGTGTGGATTCCAAGGACTGTGGGGCCTGGCTGAGCCCCCCCTCACCTGAGGGCCTCCTGGCACAGAAGGGGGTGCCCAGCTGCCGGGGAC